TCTAAGCAGCTGGAAGTCCTGCATTAACCGCTATCACCTTCTAACTCCCTGTGGCAATTCAGACAATACTAAAGTAAACAGAAATAAAGACATGACTCATGTCAGACCTGGCTGTAGCTATTGTCAAGAATTTCAATAGGCTGTGCACAGCCTGAAGTCAGGGTATAGTACCAGGATCCCCTGCTCTGAAATGAACTTAGAAAAGTTTCTTTCAGGTTTATGCTGCAAAGTACAACAACTGATGAAACCTGCTGAGATTTTAATTTCCATCATGTTCACCAGACTACAAGTGAAAATGTCCCTTGTCACTCCTTGATCGTCCTTCTCTCTGTTACAGTGTTTTTATAGGACTTTCTCCCATCTACAAGATGCAGTGTGCTGCACATGTTCCACACTGAGATAAAGAAATTATATGTATAGATTTATATGTGTATGAGGTTTTAAAAAATAATTTTTTTCTTTAAAAATTCTCACAATGTGTATGATAATGATGTTTCTCCTTGGCTTAATAATTGTCAGCAGAATTCCATACAGTAGATTCCTACATATCTTTAAGGGACCTGGGCCCCAGCAGTAGCAGACTTTTTCTGTGCTACCTCCATAATTAACATTATCACCAGCCCTGGGAAGTGCTTGACCTATAAAAAGGAAATTCTCTTTTAAAGTGTCTCATGAGTGCTATGGGTGCATGCTAGCTTAGTGTAGGCACAGAGCAGGGATTTATGGGGCAGAGAACTAGGAATTGAGTGGAATCAGCAGCTAGGATTTGTTTCTCTGAGAAAGCAAGAAGAGGAAAGGATGGAACATCCTTCCCAAAATAACTAGCTGAAATCTAGGCTAAATTTCTAGCTCAGGGCTTGAGAGCCTCAGTTTGTTTCTAGGTCTAGTCTAGAGTTAACTTGCTTTCACTCCAAATGCAGGGTAAAATAGTATGAACTAATGTCAGCAGCATTGTTGTTATTGTATACTGCGGCAAGCCAAAAGACGGTTTGAACAGTGTTGAAAATAAGAATCTTTTCTGGATATCCTCTGACAGCCATGCCTGCACTGAGCGGCTCTACCAGAAAAAAAAAAGCAAAAAAAAAGCTTGAGTCGATTTTATCTTCTTGATGAAATTGTCTTTTGAGTTTTACCCTAAACAAGAAATTATGGTAACTAGTCTGCTTTTTGGGATGAGAATAGTATTGATACGGGCAACATATAGCCAAGTATATTACAGAGCAAAACCTGCTCTTCAGCTAACAAACTGTGGCTTTCTTCTGCCTCTATCTTCTAGAAGGTGTAAGAAGCATCTGTAAATTTGGTGCTGCTGCTTCTTTCACAAGTCCTTGTGTATGAAGCTCTTTTGCTTTTCTCTTTAGAATTCTCTCCCCCCCATTTGTTCTTTGTTAAGGCAGAAACAACCATAGCCTTATGGTTCCCTTAGGGCCAGAGTTCAACTGAATTAATTATCCATGGCAGGGGAAGGTTGCATCTGTATTAAAAGCAGTCTGGTGCTTTAGCTGCACCTATTGCTGCTGCTGCATTTACCCAAGGAGTGGAAGGCTTCAGGAGTTTCTAATGGCCGTTCTCTGTGCTCATCTGATGCAGTGTCACAGCTTTACTTCTCAGAGCTGATCAAAATAGTGGCGTTGCTGTTAGGATTCTCCTGCCAGCTGCACACCAGCACACTTGAAACACTAAACCACTGTTGTACCTTAGCAGAAAGAAGACTTAGCAAACCTGGCAGATCCAAACTGTGGACTCCAAGTAGAAAGCAAAAGGGGAAAATGAAATCTGAAAACACTAATCTTCCTGACCTTATCTAAAAGCTGATAAAAGACTCTTCCATCTCTCCTAAAAGCATTGGAACTGATACTGTGGCAGACTATGAAATGAGTGTTTGAGCCTCTCTTTCCCATCCCCTTGAGGCTTCTCATACTGCCTTATGCACAGCTGATGCTCTGAAGGTCAAGCTGGGTTAGTGAAGCTATTCTTTAAGATAAGTGCCAGAATACTTAAATTCTAATTGATTTTGATCTGATGGAAGTTTAGCCAGTAACTTCGGTGAAATTACTCTGACTTATAGTGGTTGAGGATCAAGGCAAGGCTATAGGTTACTGTCCCAGAGGTGAGGTGAAGCTGTCTTTCGTTTTCAGCCTGAACAATTTTGTTTTTCAGCCTGAACAATTGCTTTGTTTTTCAGATAAAAGGGACTAGGTAGTGACTTTTCAAAAGCAAATGAAAAATGGGTCTGGTTCAGGCTATGTAGACTGGGGAAAGATCAAGGCAATTTTGTCCAATTCACTTATGTCTCATTATTATTACTGTACAGAAGGCTAATGGTGATCTATATTATCATATATCCAAATCAGAGATTCATTATTAATACCAGCTAGCTAAATTTTGGGGATACACAGTAACTGCCCTTCAGGGGGCAATATTCCCAGTTCTATTCTGGCAATGGTAATTCTAAGTTAAGATATATTTCTAGAACACATTTGTTATTGGACTTCTTCTATAAAAGTGATTGCTTCTAATTAGAAATTATTGGTTTAAATCTACTCCACATGGTCTTTCCTTTTAAACAAGAAAATTAAACAGTGAATCTTCTCATCTGTCAATTCTGTAAGCACCCCCTCCCACACTGCTTTTCCCCAGTCACACACAGCAGTGGAGATTCTTGGATTATTATAATCTTTTATAGCACTCTTACATTCTGGTCTCTGAAATGTAATACAAGAATTGTACTTGGCCATTCATCAAAAACGCAGCAATTTCATACAGTATCAGCAGATGCTAAATACCAGTGCTTTGCAGGTGAATGCACCAGAGAAGTTCATGGGCTCAAGTCTCACGTATTGCAAGGATTTAAACGAACACATTTGTACTCTCAGATGGTTGAAATAAGCCTCAGGATATGAACAGGCTGAAGTTCAAAGTAATTGTTATCCCTGCGTGGTTCTGGTAAAGCTGTATTTCATAGGTATTCGTATTAGAAAGCTTAAATCCATTGACAGATATTTTAGGCAGAACTGCTTTGGCAGGAGATAAAACATCCATGTCCATACATCATGTATGCATGTGCAAACAGGTTCATGTACATACACTTGTATGATTTGCTTTGCTTTACAATTAGACCATACACTGTTTTCCCAAGTACATGATGCCATTGAACGTGTATTACCCATTTACATTTCATCAAAGCTTTTCAGGAATATCTTTGTATGTATATTGCTGTCTGCTTCAGGTTCTTCCCTTCCACCCCGGTTATCTTAATACAGGGGTTGTTCAGGAGCCCAGCCTTCATTTCTCCCCCAACAGCAAAACCTGCACGCACAACAAGCAGCAGACTAAAAAATTATGTTCACGCCTTGACCTTGAGACTTCCTGAACCAGTTTGGATTGGCTCTCCCTTTGAAAAAACAGGCTTCCACAGGAAGTTCATAAATGGGCCCAAGTCACAGCAGTTGACGTAGTTTTAATATTTTTAACTTGGTTCTTCAAGAACTACCTAAAATGGGCGGTGTTTCATGGACACAAAGAATTGGCCAGCTTTTCCAAGAGCAAATGTCAGTGTGCTGGGTGCGATGCAAACCGTGGAAAGCCATGTGACTAACGCGCCGTCCAGCCCCGCTAGCGCAGCTTCTGCTGAGCTCAGCTGCGGGGATGTGGCTGTGCGCGCTGCGAAGCTCCACTGCCCTCCACCACGTCCCAGTGCCAGCACCCCTGGCGCTCCCAAGGCTGTAGGCAACCAACATCCCCAAAGAGCTAAATCACAGGCCTGTGTCCCAGACCCCTCAGCTTCAAGCACATTTGGATCCACAGCTTAAGCACTGATGCAATCTCTGTCCCCATGCCATACTCACCTCCCCCACCCCCTGCCAATTCTTGCCTCTTCCAGACAGAAGAAGCACCGTACATCATTCTTGTCTATACAAATGGTTTGGAACTCATTCCAAGATGTTTTTAATAAAAGTTCTTTTGTTCCTCAAGTCTAAAACACAGAAAGAGGATTGTGTGAAATGCCCATAGTTTGTTCAATGATAGGGGAGAGGACCAGAAAAAATGAATGTTGCAAAGAAACAGGAGTACTAAATCTTTAAAAGAAAAATGATGGATGAAAATGGACATGAAAACCTTGCTGTTAAGAAGTTTATCTTTTTCACCCAGCTCTAACAAAATGCAGCTACATTAAAGGCATTCCCTTTCATTCATTTGCTTTGTACCTTGTCTTCTTGTTACCTGTTGAACTTAACCTGTTGAATCTTTATTTACATCTCTGCACTCCGCTGATTGTATGCTATAATCCAGTGACAGATTCAAATTCAAAGGTCTTGAGTGCATTGCTCCTATGTAACTATGATACGGACATTTTCTTGCTTGCAAATAATCTAATGGAATGGCATGAAGGATTGTTATTAATGTTAGCAATGCATATTATTTCAGACAGAGCTATTTAATTCATTTATAAGTCAGCAGCTCTGTCAAAGGGCCATAATGATAGGCTTTAAAGCAACTTTTAAAATGAATTGTCTAGTTTGTTCAGTTCATGAATTGGGATTTTCTGGTCTAAACTGATGTACTTTGAAAGACTGACAAGAATGAAAAAATAAAGCAGGACCTTTCCAGCAAATAGGTTCTCTTTTCATTCAGTCAAGAAGTCAGAAACCTTTCTTACTGAAGAACAAAGCAAGATCTTCCCACATCCCCAAGCCACAAAAAATAGACCCATTAGATAAACAAAATATTTTCAAATGTCTTTTGGTTCGTATCTGTAAACCATAGGATCCAGAACCACTGGACTTGCTAGTATACACTTACAAGGTAAAGAGTAAATTAGATGTCTTTTTTTCACCGCTAAAGTTTTATCTTGTACTCTTCCAATCTTTCTTGTAAGCATTTCCTAAGAGGGGGTATAAGCCAAGCAACATAGAGGATCTGCCTATGATATCTATCAGGGGAGGCCTTGCCTGTTTGGCCAAGGCTAGCAGGTCTTACAGAATAATTTATTACAGTACCTTTCTGTTTCCTGGTCTGTAGTTTGCTGCTTGTTGTCAAAGCCAGTGAAGCTGCTCATATCCACATAGCCATCATTTTCATTAGCAGCAGATAATGCCCTGCTGGGATCTTCAAAAAACTCAGTAAAAGTTCCTGCTCTGGTGGATCTTCGAGGAGGAATTTGTATATTTTCATAGTCAGAGCTCATAGCAGGA